CTAAATTCATTACTTATAGATTATGGATTTATGATATATCAATGTCATGTTTTTCTATAACTTTCCGTACTATTAATGTTGTGTATGGGCTATAACACTCGGACCCGTCACTACTTTCAGTCCAAAGGTTAGATTTTTTACTTATTGAGTTGGCTGTACTCACGCTACACCCTGCACCTCGTGTGCAGATCCAGGTGTTTCTGATCACGGCAGTTGTTGATTCAGAGAGTTCAGACATTCGGAGATCATCAAGGTAGCTGCTTTGGCATCCGCAGGCCTTGACTCTCCTCCCTTATCTTTTAGTTTATTTATTCAGTTCTACCTTCTAGACAGTGTACCATACTATGTCATTATGTAGATGCTCATATACTCAGTGACACCCCGATTTTGGAAAAACTTATGTATTGAGTTATAACATTGTATCCCGTTTTATGAGGTTTTTAATTATTTAAAACGGTTTTAGTATATTTCAAATTTGGATGTGTTGGAAATGTTTGAGTAGTCGGCTTTCCTAGTATCATGATAGGCGACATCACGACGTGTTACGTTTTGGGTCGTGACACCACAGGAATTTGATTTAAACAATGTTCGAGTAATTTCTGGTTTAATTGCTATTCAAGAGGATCAACACTTGAGTTAAATGATTATGAACTATGCTTAACTACTAAAGTAAAGCAATTGACAATTGACTGCATAGAACTAGAGATTAGCAGAGTTGGTTTCTTATCAATGTGAGGAATACGAGTTTGACAGGATAGGTGCAAGATAGCTATTTGGGATTTAACTCTAGTTTAATTCACTCTAATATTCTAATGATTCTCACTAATTCACTCGATGATTAGTTCAAACGTGTAGTCAAGACTCCTCTGTCGATTAAATCTTAACTCTACGAGGTGAACTAATATAATCACTGTGAAAGTATGCAAACATGTATTAATGGATTAGTCTTCAGGAAAACATCTCTCAAATATTCTCCTAACTTGGTTTAATCAACAATTCAACAAGCTCTTTCGATTACTTAAAAGAATCAATGAATTAAATCAAATCAAATAATGCAAAGATCATCACCAATATATTCCTCTTTCGATTAAATAGTACGGTGAATAAAGGTGCAACAATTCAAAGCTTCATAAACGAATTCAAGCAAGAACTAGAGTTAAATTCCACAAATATTTATCAAAACACCATAGCCGTCAAAATCTAAGGGAAACTACTCCATAATCATGGAGGAAGTCATTACAAATATAATTAAAGAACAAGAAAATATCAATCTAACGTTAAAATCCAAACTCCTGTATTGAATTGATGGAAATATGATGAAATCTTGTGCCTTCTAGCCTCCAATGCTCTCCAAAAGCTCCCAAGGTCAAAAGTCCTCTAAAATCGTGGTTTTGGTGTATTTATACCATATCGGAACGGGCCCGAATGAAACTACCCTTTCCAAGCCGAAGTGGGACAATTGGACCGCGCAAATACATTGGCGCGCCTCCCCATACGCCACATTAGTGAGTATTTTCATAGAGTTGATTTTTTCACTCTGCAGGAATTTTGTACTAGCGGCCCACTACGCATGGCGCAGGGTGGTAGTGCAATTTTCTCAAAGTAATTTTGTTTTCTCACTTTTTGACATCCAGACTTGGTCCTCAACCCCCGAACGTGATCCCGATTTAATTTCTTGGGTTTTTACTCAGACTTCAAAGCTCTAACTTGTTAAAATTAGCTCCAAATTATCTTAATAGCTCGGAATCATTTCCTGCAAGGCATAAAATACATAATAAGTGCAATTCACTATCATTTAAGCTCAAACACAAGTAAAATACAGTAATTATATTCCTTACTATGACTTAAACATGTGATTCTAGCCTACCATCAATACCCCACACTTAAACCATTGCTCGTCCTCGAGCAATCAAACTGCACTTCACATAGAGACGACCTTCTTATTAGACAACTGCCCTAACGCATCATGCCATGAATATTTAAAATAGACTAAGCACCCTATCATAATATCCTAACCTCAAAACTAGACTCAAAAGCACCACACATTTTTCCCAACCTACTCACTTACTCTAACACAGAGGTCAAATATTTCACCTTACCTTCGCAAATCAAGTGCCCTCACACAAACAATAGAGAGTAGTCCCACATATGATAAATTTCAATAACAATTAGGAATTCAAGATAGAAAGAATTCACTCACTCTCAGAATTAAGATTCATATGCCACAGAAGACGTACCATAGGCTTTCCCGTAGTGTAATACTCTACTCATTGAGCCCATTCAGTCACGAATCAAATAGGACTTAATTTGGTTGTAATGTAGGTTGTGGGACAGTTAGGATAGATCTGGATAAAGTGACTACACCTCCCTAAGCACTTTAATACATATACATTAACAATTCAAATCCTACACTTATGTTGAACCAAACCCCAACCTTCATACATAATATCATCAATCTCCCAATATCTTTAAGCACAAACCAGATGAGAACTACCACTAGCATGGAATCCATTTTTTTTCTTTTCTACGTTCTGATTTTTTTCTTCCTTTTCAATCAAACTCTTTTTTTTTTCAATTCTCTACAAGTGGCTCTCACAATGTTTCAAATAATGCACATTTCTCCTTTTTCTATAGTTCCACTCAAAACCTGACCATACCTTACTTAGCTTTTACAAGCTCATACAAATTCAAGTACTCACGAGAGGTAAGAGGTTCAAATCGATAGACACTTCAAACAAAAGGGTCAATATTGTAGTGTGGTTGCCAAAGAAATACGAATACAAGCTCAACGGGGCTAACTAAGATGCTTCACAATTAGGTGGGTAAAACATATAATTGGGTCACTAAAGAAATGCCTATATCACCTCCTAAACTAAACTAGACTACTATTTTGCTTTGCAAACACACGAGACAAGTTCTAGACATCAACTAACATGCACATAATATCAACAAAAAACCTCACACACACATTAGCACATAACTCACTTAGAATCGGATCTATCCCGACTCTCTAGTCAAAACAGTTAAGCAAAGTTACAACCACACAATTTAAGGTACTTATTTAACAATCAAGAATTGAGCCTAGGCATCCCAAATAAGGCACTCACTGCTCTTAAGGCACAACAAAGTCAAGAAAAGTCATCTCCCTTAATACTTAGCACAAGACTTCACTACTTCCACTAAAAGAAAAACTAACTATACCCGGTTCAACAAAAACCCTTGAAAAAGAACCGTGGTACAAAGAAAAATCAAGGGAGAATTATTACACTACCTAAGAAAAACAAAATATTTTTTTTCTTCGACTTTAATCCCTCAAGAAGACAACCGAGGAAATCTATCATCGGGAAAAGTCGAAAAATATTCCAATCAAAAGAAACGATTACAAACACACATATACATATATACATTCTCACCCCCACACTTTAAATTGTGGCATGTCCCCATGGCACACAAATAAAAAGCAAGAGGTAAAGGAAACTTTCCTGATTCATCAAGTCGGAGTATGAATCGAAGTCGGGATCTCCTTTGCACGCCCGATCCAGTGCTCACATCCATGCTGAGAGCTTCTTTTCCGCCTTCTTTGGTTACACCCCACACTTATCATCTTCACTCTTTGGAATTTGCTCGTTCAGCCCCCCCCTTCCATTTTGAAGATCAACCTTTCATCCCCCCACTCTGAGCATGATCTACCTTTTCTGAATATCTAGAATTGCTCTGCCCGTAGCCAAGAAGGGTCTTCCTAAAATCAGAAGGACCTCCATATTCTCCTCCATATTCATAACAATAAAGTCCATTGGAAACACAAATATGTCCACCCAAACTAGCACATTCTCCATTATTCCTCTCGGTATGATTGTAGTCCGATACGCCAGCTGCAAAGACATATGTACCGACATGATCTCTCCAGTCTCTCCCTCTAATTTCCTAAAAATAGATAAAGGCATAAGATTAATAGAATCACCTGAATCACACAAAAAAAATTCAAATTTAGTACTTTCTAAAGCGCAAGGTATAGTAAAACTCTCTAGATCTCTATATTTGTAGGGAGCTTAGTATGCAAGATGGCACTACAATGCTCTTTGAGCTTTACCACCAATGTCTCTTCCACTTTCCATTTCTGGGACAATATCTCCCTCATGAATTTAGCATAAGCTAGCATCTGTGAAAGGTATATTCGCATGCACCTGCTTGAACACTTCTAGAAAGCGCTCGAATTGTTTGTCTAACTTCTCTCTTCATTGCTTCTAGAGGAAAGGTAGAGCAGGCATGTATTTTCTCTCTTCAGTCTCATTATTTGTTGCATTGTCATCCTTCTTCTTTTTCTGAGATCTAGTCTTTACCTTCTTCTTCAAACCATCATCTACTATCCCTGCACCTTTTTGAATGTTATCATTCTTCTGCACTTCCACAATCTCCACATGTCTTTCAACTGGATTATCCTTTTTCTTTGATATGGGGTCCTCCAACTCATGCCCACTCTTCAAAGACACTGCATTTGTTGTCTCTTTTGGATTTCTTTTAGTATCAACAGAGAGTTGATAGTTGTTGCCCTCTCAGACAAGGCAACAACCTATTATTGGAGAAGAGGTTACAAATGTTGTCATTCAATATTTTACCACTTGCCAAATGTTCAAACCTATCAATTGTACATCAGTCACTTTGATACCTAAGATTAAGAACCCCTCATCCATCAACGAATATAGACCTATTTCATGTTGTACTACACTTTATAAAATCATTTCAAAGGTGCTAACCAAGAGGCTGCAGGGTGTTATGGATGGAATAGTTGACAACTCACAATCTGCTTTTGTTCCAGGAAGATTAATCACAGATAATATCATCCTCAGTCATGAGTTAGTGAAAGGCTATGGGAGAAGGGGACTATCACCAAGATGTATGTTGAAATTAGATATGCAAAAAGCATACGATTATGTTGAATGGCTTACTTAGAACAAATTCTTATTGGATTGGCTTTCCCTGATATGTATGTGAAATAGATAATGCAATGTGTTCAGACAGTCTCTTATTCCATCCTGATTAATGGCAAACCATGTGCACCATTTGAGGCTAAAAGAGGATTGAGACAAGGGGATCCTTTGTCCCCCTTCCTGTTTGTGATAGCTATGGAGTATCTAACTAGACTATTGAAGACTTTAAAACGCGTACCAAATTTTAACTATCATCCCAGATGTGAGAAAATGCAGATTGTGCAATTGGGGTTCGCAGATGATCTACTCTTACTTTGTCGAGGTGATGCAGACTTTTATATGACACATTTCAAAGCTTCTCCAATGTTTCAGGTGATAAACAAGAATAAGAGCTATATATTTTTTGGAGGGGTAAATGAGTCAAACCAGCAGATCATACTGCAAAGATTGGGGTTCAACAAAGGTGAATTACCTGGGGGTTCCACTCAGTACCAAGAGACTTTCCATTGTGCAACGCCAACCACTAATTGAGAAAATGGTAGGTAGAATCATCTCATGGACAACAAAGTTCCTATCATATGCACGTAGGGTTCAACTGATAAAAAATATTTTGTTCTCTATCCAAACATTTTGGTCACAAATATTTGTGCTGCCAAAACAATCATAAAATTGATTGAAGCAGTTTGTCGAAGTTTTTTATGGACAGGTGGTAATGAAATCACAAAAAATAATCTACTCACCTGGGATAGAATATGCTGGCCTCAAATAGCTGGAGGACTGAATATAGCTATTTCGAATAGAGCTGCTATTGGCAAACAATTCTGGAACCTATGAAAGAAGAATGATAGGTTGGGAATATAATGGATTCATATTTACTACGGGAAAGGGAGGCAAATATGGGAGATATGTCCTCCTCAAACATCTTGGATGGTGAAGAAGATTCTGAAGGCAAAAAAGTATTTTGAGGATGCTGGTTTCCAACAAGCCGATCTAATGAACATGCAGTCCTTCTCAATTAAAAAGTTTTATCACAAGTTGAGGGGGAGTTCCCTAAAGTGTCCCGGAGGAAACTAATATGCAATAACTTAGGATGCCCAAAATGAATTTTCAATCTGAGATTGGTTGCTCATGGAAAGTTGCTCACACGGGACAGACTGTCCAAATGGGGTATAACCACTAATATCTTATGTCATCTATGTGATGTGGAGGATGAGACAATTGCTCATATATTCTTTCAATGCAAATATTCTACTGCTATTTGGGAAAGATTACTACTCTGGCAGGGGATAGATAGGAAAGCTAGCAGGTATCCTGGAGAACAAGATTGGGCTGAGAAGCATGCAAATGGGAAAGGGGTGGAAGCAGAGGTATATAGAATCATCTTGGCAGGATGCACTTACTTCATCTGGCAGGAAAGAAACAACAGAATATTCCAAAGTGCTAGAAGAACTGAATATCAACTAGTGAGGTTGATTGCCCAGGAGGTCCATGGTAGGGGTAACAATACAGCAAAAATTGTAGGGTACTTTAGAAGAATGAATTACTACCCTTAGTATGATACCCTTTTCAATGAGGAGGAGGTTAGATGTCTTGTAGTTTCATTGAATTTGTTTTCTTTTATTATAGGTTTGGGCTTGTGAACAGATCATTAGGGGTTTTTGTGTTGCACATACATTTCCCTGGTAATAAAATTTTTATTTACCAAAAACAAAATATACATATATTAGCAATACAAGAATCAAACTAGTTAAAGAGAAAATGCCCTTAATAAGTAATTCTTACGTAATAATCCCTTCATTATTAATCAAAACATTACAATTCTTTTATCTATCTATCTATCTATCTATCTATCTATCTATCTATCTATCTTTATTATTATAAAAGTATGAATACAATGTCGGTTTATAAAAATAACCTTATAATATTAAGCATAATAACTCATAATAAAAGGACATAACCGGAATTCTAGATATTAGCCTTATAATCCTATTAGTTTTAGGACACAATACTATACATTAGGAATCCTACATGATTACCTTTCGGAAGCTTATTAATATAATTACTTTCGGGCATAAGCATATAATACTACATGTTAGCATGTATACCTAATACCTTTAGGAACACGTTATGTTTCCTTTTAATATAATTACTTTAGGGGTAGAGACATATTTTTAGTCATGTAATCCTATTACTTTTAAGATATAATTCTTAAGAATTTCTATTACTAATTTAATTTGAAAACGTATGATAATGTCCTATTACTAATTTAATTTGAGAATATATTATATTGTCCAAATTGATTTAGAAAAAAAGAGAGTTTATATTATAATAAAAGCAAAAATACAATATTAATAAACCAAAATAGCCTTAAAATATTAAATGAAAGAACTCAAAGGGAAAGGACATAACTGCAATAACCTATTTTTTGGACTAATTTGAGAATGTATTATATTGTCCAAATCGATTTAGAAAAAATAGAGCCTATATTATTATAAAAACACAAATACAATATTAATATATCAAAATAACTCCAAAATATTAAATGGAAGAACTCATAGGAAAATGACATAACTGCAATAACCTATTTTTTGGACTACAATACTTTCTATGCTAATATTTAATATTTAAAATTTTAAACTTAATAAAATTTTGTCTATTAAATTTTTATTAAAAATATGTAGGAAGGTTTAATAAATCAATTTCATAAGAATCTTTCATATTGGCAATACATTTCCACTCATAATGTCCAATACAAGAAAAAATAAAAGTAGTATTAAATAGATTGCATAAATGTCACGACCCCAATTTCCCTCCGTAAGATGTCATAATGGCACCTGGTCTCTAAGAATAGGTAAGCCTAACAAACATGTGGAATATAACTGAAATAACAAATAAACATTCAAATACTCAACAATTTTAATAAAGAAATCTCCACAACTCAGCATATACAATTTTTTTCCAAAACCTGGTGATATCGAGTCACGAGTTCTACAACGGTGTCATAATCATCTCTATACAACTGTATCTAATAAAAGAAGGAAGATATAGAAATAGATAGAGGGTGACTACGAGGCCTGCGGACGCCGACAGGTGTACCTTGAAGTCTCCAAGTACGAACTCAACCCATTGATGCCTGGACTGGTAGAAGGTATCTGGATCTGCACAAAAGATGTATAGAAGCGTATCATAAGTATACCACAACGGTACCCAGTAAGTGCCAAGCCTAACCTCGGTAGAGTAGTGACGAGGTCAGGTCATGGCGCTACTAGAATAAATAAGAAACAGGACGAATAACTTGACGGTACAATAATAATAATGGAAATGAAACAAGTAAGGAATATGCCAAAATTATCTACACAGAGTAAAGACAAATAATGCATTATAGAAAAAAAAAGAAAAAGAAAAGAAAAGAAGTGTTAAGACAAGAAAACAAACCACCAAACACAAGTGAAGTAATAGAGAAATACCAACAAGAGTCACTACTGAGGTACTGCTTCGTAGTCTCAAATCACAAAAATCCACAATCTTTCTTTATATCACTCCGGGAGCCTTGCATTTAGTTTTGAAAATCATTTTTCCTGAAATAGAATCTCGCATTTTAGCCCACCTTATCACACCACATGGATTCTAGTAGTTCCCCTACTAGTCACGCGTATCAAGCACACCTTATCTCACCGCATGTGTTTCAACCTCAAAACCATATACCACCACATGCGTATCAATATCACAACGTATCACAAATCGCACCCCAAGTGACCAATATCACAACTTGCCAAAGAAATAAACAACAACGGTGATCTCACAATAATTAGCCCATGGCTCAACTACAATGTACACAAAAGTCTTAACATTAACACCCGAAAGTGAATAACTCAATAAGAATAGTATTTTACAACTTAACACTTTTTCTCAATGTGAATCACGACATTTATACCTCAATACCAATTTTAGCAACAAGATATTCCAAGAATAACAATTTTAAATAAAGAATTCAATGATTACATAATGAATATGGAATAAAGGAAACAAGAATTTCAACTAAACATGTAGAGCAATTAACAAGTAAGACATAAGACAAGTAGAGCATGCGAAAATAGATTAATGATGATGAGTACAACATGTTAAGATAACTCAATTAAGGCATGAAAGGAATGCACATTGCTAAAATCGGTAATTTCCACATTTAGCCCGTGTACACACTCGTCACCTTGCGTACACGGCTTCCACACATCACAATTGTCACAAAACGACACCAATCCTAAGGGGCAATTCCCTCATACAAAGTTAGGCAAGACACCTACCTCAAAACATGCTAACTCAATCCACTAGTATGCCTTTTCCTCGATTATCCAACTCTGAACGGCTCGAATCTAGCCAAAACAACTTCATACCATAAATATAAACTATAGGAATCTATTTCGAACAATAAAGTTATGATCTTTGCAAAGAAATAAAAAGTCAACTCAAAAGGTCAACCCGGTCCCGCACCTCGGAACCTAACCAAAATTACAAAATCCGAAAATGCATTCGATAACGAGTCCAATCATACAAGAATTACTAAAATCCAATCTCAAATCGCCTTTCAAATCCCCAAATTTTAGCCTAAGAAGTTTTCACAATTTTTCCTCAAATTTCCAACTCAAATCACTGATTAAATAATAAAATTAATAATAGATTCATGTAATTTAACCAAAAATAAGTTAGGATTTCTTACCCCAATGATTTCCTTGCACATCTCCCGAAGAATAGCCACAAATCGAGCTATCTAGGTCCAAAAATGGATTAGAACGCAAATCCTTGAAGATCCATTTTCTGCCTAGCGATACTCGCTTCTGCGGGCCTGGGGTCGCACCTGCAGAAACTCCACCGCAGGTGCGGTTCCAACTTAAGCTCAGGAGATTCCGCTTTTGCGTACAAATCGTGCACCTGCGTGTCTGCTCCTGCGAAGAATATGCGCATCTGCGCTCTCGCACCTGCGTAAGGGTTCTGCTTCTGCCACCCTAGGCTTGGCTAGCCATTTTGGCTTCTGCGCTACCTCACTCGCTCCAACTTAGGTACTATATGTCTCATTCCACTCCGAATCTCACCCGAAACTAAAACCAAACACCCCTGGCAAGTCACATAACCACAATATAACGTAGAGGAGGCAATGAATAGGGGATCAGGACTAAAATACTCAAAATGATCGGCCGGGTCATTACATCCTCTCCCTCTTAAAACAAACGTTCGTCCTCGAATGAGTATAGAGACATACCTGAAGTGGTGAAAAGATGAGGATAACAGCTACACATATCATTCTCGGTCTCCCAAGTGGCTTCCTCGATTGGTTGACCCCTCCACTGAACTTTCACTGAAGCAATGTTCTTCGACCTTAACTTTCGGACCTACCTGTCCAAAATGGCCATCGGCTCTTCAACACAAGACAAATCCTTATACAACTGGACTGAGATGAAGTCTAACACATGATACGGATAACTGTGATAATTCCGGAGCATGGAAACAAAGAATACTCAATGAACTGTAGCTAGACTATGTGGCAGTGCAAGCTTGTAGGCCACCTCTCCAATCTTCTCAAGAATCTCAAGAGGTCTGATATACCTAGGGCTTAACTTGCCCTTCTTCCCAAACCTCATAATACCCTTCATGGGTGAAACCCGGAGCAATACCCGCTCTCCAACCATGAATGCAACGTCGAACCTTCCGATTCTCATAACTCTTCTGTCTAGATTGGGTTGTGCAAAGTCGATCTTGAATAAATTTAACCTTTTCCGAAGCATCCTGAACCAAGTTTGTACCCAATAGCCTAGCCTCACCCAGCTCGCACCAACCCACCG